CAGAATTATAATTTAAGAATCAAAATTTTAGGAATTATATCTCTCCTTACGTTTGCAGAATCTAATGTTAATTTTATGCTATTATTTATGATTATAAGAATACCTATTCAATTAGGATAATTATCAATTAATTCGGCTATTCTCAATTTATATAGCCTGTAAATATAGATGTTGAGGAGATGCTGTTATAAATGTAAAGTACAAGTAGGAAATTTATTTTAATAATTTAACATTCTTTAGAATGATCGTTTGAATTAGAATGTAATCGATTATATTTCGTTAGATTTTTACTTTATTTTGGAGCTGATTCTTGATTAAGACTTTCTACAAATTATAATCACATTTCGTGTATAGAAATATATTTTCTTTATTTCTATTTTACACGCAATAACGTACTAATTGAATATTTAATTTTTAATAATAGTATTTTAGCAAATAAAAATTATAACCTCAAAATGATGCTTTTGAAAACTTAGAATTTTACCATATTGTTAAAACCATTTAATATTAAAGTCGCTGCCCCTTGCTTTATAGCTAGACAAAGATTAATACTATAAATATTAAAAAATAAATTAGATATTCCTAACAATTTGTATTCTATAATTTTACATTCGAATACATTGTCACTTCATACTGAATATTATTGGGAATATTAATATATTCTCACCCCAATCTCCATTCTCTTCTAATCATGTTTACATAACAACCTCTGTTGCTATTTCAGTAGTATATACTTAAATTCTAAGCATTCATTTACTTCTATCTCTAAATCTCTGCCTTGAATTGTTATAGAATCTACAACTCTCAGATAGAAAATTATACTTTACATCTCTCTCATCCTCTCTGTTTTTTCTCTTTCCGTACATTTTCAGGTATTTAATTTTCTTTTTGCATTACACTCTTTCCACTATAATATAAATACTTAGTACAGCCCAGTATTCTGCATTTATAATATTATCATAAGAGGACATCATCAAATAATTAGCAAATTATTTGTTCATCATTCCAATATAATTTATATCCTAAATCATTAAGTAAATTACCTATTTCATACAATTCTTCTGATTTTTCAATATTTGATTTAGATATTTGATCATAATCTAATGCAAATAAATTTAAATCTTTCTATAATTTTTTTATTTAATCTTAAAATTCCTTTATCAATTCCTATAACAATTTTTCAATAGTTAATTCAAATTATTTGAAATGAATACTTTATGATAAGAAAGAATTAATTTATTGAAAATTTAAATTGAGTAATTATTATTTAGATATCTGATATTTAGATCTAATTCCTCCAATTAATAAAAAGAAGTCATTGTAAATCAAATCCATTTATTTATTGATTCTATTTATTAAATTATCAGATTCTTTTTCAATTCTTGAAATATGTTCAAATAGGAATGGCAACTCTTCTTAATGTTTAAGGTGAGTAACATGCATTCCAATTTTAATACATTCATGACAATATAATCTCTATTCTTTACAAGACTCATCAAAACATACTTATTTAACATTCTTAGTATGTTCTGGATTAGGACATTTCACAATTATATCTTCACATTAATTCATTATTAATATATTATAATATCTGCTCCAATTTCTATTAAATTTATATTAATAATTATAATTCAATTTTAATATTCCATTAATATTATCATTATATCTTAGAATTTTCAAACCATTTCAACACTAATCTTTACAACTCCTACTTCAATTACAACAATACAAACTTAAATGCTCTCTTTCATTTGAGTCTGCTGATTATTCTCATTCAAATCAATAAGTAAAATAATGTTTGATATTAGTTTATTCCAGAATTATAATTTAAGAATCAAAATTTTAGGAATTATATCTCTCCTTACGTTTGCAGAATCTAATGTTAATTTTATGCTATTATTTATGATTATAAGAATACCTATTCAATTAGGATAATTATCAATTAATTCGGCTATTCTCAATTTATATAGCCTGTAAATATAGATGTTGAGGAGATGCTGTTATAAATGTAAAGTACAAGTAGGAAATTTATTTTAATAATTTAACATTCTTTAGAATGATCGTTTGAAATAGAATGTAATCGGTTATATTTCATTAGATTTTTACTTTATTTTGGAGATGATTCTTGATTAAGACTTTCTACAAATTATAATCACATTTCGTGTATAGAAATATATTTTTCTTTATTTCTAGTTTACACGCAATAACGTACTAATTGAATATTTAATTTTTAATAATAGTAATTTTAGCAAATAAAAATTATAACCTCAAAATGATGCTTATGAAAACCTAGAATTTTACCATATTGTTAAAACCATTTAATATTAAAGTCGCTGCCCCTTGCTTTATAGCTATACAAAGATTAATACTATAAATATTAACAAATAAATTAGATATTCCTAACAATTTGTATTCTATAATTTTACATTCGAATACATTGTCACTTCATACTGAATATTATTGGGAATATTAATATATTCTCACCCCAATCTCCATTCTCTTCTTATCATGTTTACATAGCAACCTCTGTCGCTATTTCAGTAGTATATTCTTAAATTCTAAGCATTCATTTACTTCTCTCTCTAAATCTCTGCCTTGAATTGTTATAGAATCTACAACTCTCAGATAGAAAATTATCTTTGAATCTCTCTCATCCTCTCTGTTTTTTCTCTTTCCGTACATTTTCAGGGTATTTAATTTTCTTTTTGCATTACACTCTTTCCACTATAATATAAATACTTAGTACAGCCCAGTATTCTGCATTTGTAATATTATCATAAGAGGACATCATCAAATAATTAGCAAATTATTTTGTTCTTAAAAAGCAATTGTTTTAGCTTATTTTTAGTTCTTTTGCCTCTTCTAATTTATCTTCCAATCATCAGAATCCTGAGTTGAGTATACAGTTTTTCAAGCACAATATTAAAAAAAGTGTCAAACAAAAAAGGTGCAAGTAAAGGACCTGAATGCACTACTTCTATTAAGTATACTTTTTTTCTCTATCTAC